AGGTCGCTGTCCGATCTTTCCAGAGCCTCGAGCATGGAACCCTTGATATCAAAATCAAGTTCATTTGGTTCACTACGACTGGTGGAGCCACTTACAAAAGAACTCCTCATACCATGGAAATCAATTCCATCAGTTGCAGTACCACCAGTCAGCGTATTTAGATCAGATATTGAGTAGCAGCTTGAGTAATCAGTCTTCATATTCATAGCATTATTCAGCTGAGCAAAGCTAGTTTCTGCCATAGCACCAGTGAAGATGTCATTGTTGTAAGCTTCAGCATCAAAACCTGGTTCATTACTTGATATGTTCCGTGAGTTCACAAACTGTTCCTTGGCATTATCATCACGTCGGTTGTCGTTGTTCTTAATTTCAGAATTCATTGAGCAGTTAGTGAAATAATCCACACTAATTTGAGGAGGAGAGATAGGATTCATGTTCAAATTGGATTGATACACCATGTCATTGCTCTGATTGACAAAAATTTCAGCCTTAGAAACATTGTTCTGATTGACAAAACTTTCGTCCTGACAAACATTGTCATCATTAGAGCTACCACCAAAACATTGGGCGAGAATGGACGATCGATTGCCATCATGAAGGGCATTAGACGTTTCACAGTTTGCACCAGAAACAGGAGAAGATATTGTATCTAAGCATGAATTGAGGTTAACCTCCTTTATTCTGACATCAATGTTCATCCCATCATCAATGTTGATCGCATCATTTTTCAAGGCAGTCACTCCACGATCAATTTGATCCACAACAGGTTTATCATATTCAGAGCTGGTAGAATTCAGCATATCGCCAAACTTGCAAGCTATCTTGCTGTTATCTACCTCCATGCTGTTGGAACTAAGATCAGGCTCATCCAAGGTGGCAGACAGTGGATTATTTCCCACCTGGTCATTAAAACCAGTTCCTCCAGGAAAACCTCTAAATTTGTGATCCAGCATATCACAGTGCTCAGGAACTTGTTTTGGCAGTGTTATATCAGCACAGTCCATTGGATCATCAGAGCAACTTTTTTCACCTGGAGCATCTGCAGTACATGGAACATCCTGAGGTATCTTAGAGATTTCATGAGACCTGTCAAAACTTCCTGAGCAATCTGCGATGGAAAATTCCAAATCTTTTGAGCTGTCATGCTCATGAACTTCTGGTTCAGGAGACTTGCAAGTACTAAGGTTGCTTCCAACATCAAAGGCAAGAGGCTCTTCAGCTATATGACATGCTCCATCATGGATTTCATGGTCACCAGAATTATCAACATGTTCCTTTTGATGCCCAGCGAAAGGCTCTGTAGCAGAAAGTTCTTTTTCCTGTTGAGGTAAACCAGTAGTCTCCTGAGGAAGGTCCTGATGCCCAGAGACAGGCTCTCCAGCAGATGGCTCTTCTACCTGTTCAGGTAAGGCAGTTATCTCTTGCAACCCACATGGTGCTGCAGCCAAGGATAGCTGAGCACCTACATCTCCTGAAGAAGCTCCGCCAAACAGTTCTGCTGGACTCTGACCTTGACTTTTAACATCAGCTACACCATGGCCAAAATAGCCAGGTTTATCTTCAGAGGTCCTCTGACTTTCTTGAGTCTCAAGTTTTCCATCTTTACTGACTCCCAGACCAATCGATTTATCAACCTTGCGCCTTTTAGCTTTCCTTTGATGAAAAGACAATTGATGCTGCACATAGGCACTCTGGTCCTCAAAAGTCAAATTGCATTTTTTGCACTCTTTCCTGACTGCTTCTATCGGAGCTTCATCTTTATAAGGTTTTTGTCTCTGTCCCTGAGAATCGCCATTGTGAATGGATAATGTAACAGAAGTGGCTAACACTGCACTTTGCATGTCCCTAGTTGAATCATTTTGCTGGTGAAGACCTGCAGTCTAATTAAACATTTCATGAAGTTAAACAGTGGAAATGAAAGTGCAGACTGCCAAGATAAGGTGCGTACTAAGAAAAAACTTACATTCACAGCACTCAAGTCATGAACTCCCACATCGTTGTTCTGAACTCCCACATTCACAGCACTCAAGTCACGAACTCCCACATTCACAGCACTCAAGTCACGAACTCCCATATCGTTGTTCTGAACAGTGGTTGGCTTTGCCTCCACATATCCAAGAAGTGACATGAAATAGGAAGAAACTTCTCTACAAGTAGCAAATTGATGTCCCCTGGGGCTGGAAAGTATAGTGTGCACAATTAGCTAAGGCAAACATGATAATGGGAAATCAACATGCAAAACACAATTTACTACTCCCTCCGTCCCAAAAAGTTGTACTGAAGTTGAGACACTTATTTTGGGACGGAGGGAGTACTTGATTAGATGAAAAAAACATCACAAACCATGTAGCAAGCCCAACGGAGAATATAAACACTGCACAGACAGGCTACAGTGCTACACTGTTCTAATAAAGAGGTACCATCTTGATTAGGATCTTCATTTAACAAGTAGAAATTTAACATGGATCTTTTTCTCCAAAAACATAACTTATGCAAAGCACAATGAGAGTGGTAATAAATCTTTGAAAAGAGAGAAAAATCACTGAGTTAGTGATATACAAAAAAAAAGAATTATACTTATACATATATTGGTGCATGTCTAATAAAAACACCCACGGAGAAGGGTGTGTAAAAAAAGATATGCCATACCAACATTCAAGAAAAAGTGGAATCGCTTAAGATGACTGGAATAATCATAAATTACTTCTCAGTATCAAGATGGTATGTGCATAATATGGGCACTCACCCTTGATCAGCAAGCCATGTTGCCATCAAGGTTCTGAAGGCTAGTTGAAGAAGAGAGGGATTAGAGAATTTGTTTATTCTTTTTGCTCCAAAGGCGGCAATGATTAGCCTTATGTACAAGACACCTATCCCCCACCCAAACACTCTTGGATTAGGGAGGGTTATGTTAACCTGGCTAGAGTCTTTTAGCACTCTTAACACAGGACTAAACTATCCCCCTACAATTAACTATTCGAGGTTCTATTTTCAGCTACTACCCCAGTTAATCTGGCTAATCTTGCCAAAAAGAAATTTGAGGAGCTGTTGAGCCTGTGCACGCAAGCATGACTGGAAAAGGATTTGTGGGCTTCAAGGTTCATATACCCAGAACACAGTAATGTCAAACCAAAATAAAGTACGCATGAGGGGTCTTCGGTTTTACATTAAATGAAAAAATCAAGCAAATAAAGAAAAACAGTGCCTGAACCCTAGAACTAAAACAAACACACAAAAAAACATTGTTCTGTTACTTTAGAAAACGGAAATCCTAAAATCCTTATCAGCACAATTTATACTTTGGAAGTATCACGAATATGTTAGACATGGAAATTGGCAGAGGCATCAGGCAGCCAGCCAAACATGTGGTTAGGCATACACTTTCAGTTAACACTCGCTACCAGACGACAAAGCATACCTGGATTGAGCATTATATACACAAAAAAGGAGACAGAAAGAATGAAACCAAATAGGACCAACAAACTGATGGTTAGATTACAAATTCGTACTAGGTATGCATGCAACACAATCAGAGGTGCTTACAATGAAACAAACAGGAGCACTATGTATGCAAGTATTACCAAAAGACAATAAAAAATTAGATGCCAGACATTTCGAAATAACACCTTGCAAATGCTACTCCAACTAGAATAAAAATAAAATGGACTTATATAGCCAGAAACCCCATTTTCCTGATGCTTATGTTTCTAATATGTATTCTAATGCAGTTATGCTTCATCTGGTTACTGAAATCAGTAACATTGACTTCTTAGAAGACATTTATTTTCATACTACAAAACCCATTTCTCTACAATATAAATATGAGAAGGAATCATGATCCTTGTGAGAAGCACTGCATCCATTCACAGGGCATCACATTTGGATCATAAAACCTAAATCATTTGCGCATAGAAGGTTACAACACCTATCAAGTGTCAACCATCGTCCACTATCGCTAGAATCAGAACAAACTATACACATCGAGCAGAACAAACCTAACATATCGGCGGCAATTGATCCAGGCAGCACGCTCCTTCCGTTTAATCCCAAGGATTAGCTTCCACCCACGGGGCAGGTGGTCGCCGAATATGGCTGCTTCCACAAACTTCCTCCGCCGCCTCCGACTCCCCCACTGCCCCTCCAACTCATTCATGAAACCCAGCAGCTCGGATTCCAGAGCCAGTCCTGCAGTCCGATTTCGTATCTCCTCCCCATACGGATCCACCAACTCCGCGAGTCTGGCCAAATCAACAGCCACCCCCTTGGGGTTCGTCAAATCCCGGTCTGGGTCCGGGAGCTGCTGGATCGGCACGGAGGCCACGGGGGGTGCGGGCACCGGTATCGTGGGTGCGGGTATGGGTATCGGGGGTAGCTGTTGGAGTGGAATCGGCGGTGGTGGTGGCAGATAGGAGGGGTCGTCGCGCGCAAAGAGCTGCTGGAGGTGGAACACAATGAGGCGGTTCTCGGAATCCTCCTCCGTGGGGGCGGCGACGGCGGAGGAGGAGGCGGTGCTAGGGGTGAGATTGTGGGGGAGATTGGTGGCGGCGCGGCGGCGGGAGAAGGTCTGCTTGCGGGAGCCGGCACTCTCGTTGAAGACGGCGCGATCGATCTTAGGGGGCGGGAGGAGGTCGGCGTCGCGGCGCCCGCGGCGGGGGTCGACGGCGTAGGGCGATGCGGCCGCGAGCGCCACGAGCTCCGACTGGGACAGCGCGCCAAGGTCCACCACGGGCACCACCTCCGTGCCCATGGCGGACGGCGGCAGCGGCGGCGGCGGCGGCTGCGGTTGCTGCGGAAGGGCAATTTGGGGTTTCGGTTTCGTTCCAGAGGAAACGGAAAAGGGCATGGGGCTATGCGGAGGATAGAGAAAGAGGAGAGGTGGGGTGGGGTGGGGTGGGCTCCAGATCGAACGGCTGCCCTCGCATCAAGGTTCGTGCGCTCCACTGATCAAATTGAAACACTGAGCCCCCAACTCCTCCGGCCGCCGCCGCCCGAGCCTAGCGATGGCGCGCCGCCTCTTCTCCGCCGCAAGAGCTCTCGTCCCGCCCGTCCCAGCGCCGGCGCCGGCGCCCGTGCCCGCGTCTTCTTCCGCGGCCGCGGAGGCCGCGGCGTCGCTCCTGCCGCTGCTCCCGTGCAAGCGGCGGAAGAAGCTCCTGAAGAAGCTCAACAGCCCGCGCATCGCGCCCATCGAGCCCGAGGCCGACCGCCGGGTGCCGGCCCTCGACGCCGTCCTCGACCGCGACGCCGCCTTCCGCTTCCTCTCCCGCGCGCGGTCCTTCATGGCCTCCCTCCCGCCCCCACACCGCATCCCCCTCGCCGAGGCCGGCAAGCTGTACCGCGAGCTCGGCTTCCCCCGCGGCCGCAGCGTCTCGCGCGCCGCCGCCCGGCACCCCTTGCTCTTCACCCGCACCACCGTGGGCTCCGTCCCGCACCTCGCGTTCACGCCGCTCATGTGCTCGCTCCTCGAGGAGGAACGCCGCGTCCACGAGGAGCTCCTCCCCGCGCGGGTGCTGGCCGTCCGGAAGCTCCTCATGCTCACCGCCCACCGCCGCCTGCCCCTCGCGAAGCTCCACCACTGCCGCGCGGTGCTCGGCCTCCCGGACGACTTCCGGGACCGCGTCCGCGACTTCCCCGACGACTTCCGCGTCGCCGTGGACCCCGACGGGCTCCACGTCCTCGAGCTGGCGCACTGGGACCCCGCGCTCGCCGTCAGCGCCCTGGAGCACGACTTCATGGTGGACGAGCGCCGCGTCCGGCGCACGTTCCGCTTCTCCGTCCCGCACCGCCGGTCGATGCCGCTGGACGGGGAGGAGGCGGAGCGCCTGGACGCGGCGACCACGTTCCCGCTGGTCTCGCCGTACACCAACGGCTCGCTGCTCCGGCCGTGGACGCCGGAGGCGGAGAAGTACCGCGTCGGGGTGGTGCACGAGTTCCTGAGCCTGACGCTGGAGAAGCGCGCGCTGATACACCACGTGTTCGAGTTCAAGGAGGAGCTGGGGCTGACGCGGCACATGTACCAGTCGCTGCGGAAGCAGACCCGCGCCTTCTACCTCGCCGGGACGGAGATGAACTGGGCCGTGTTCCTCCGGGACGCGTACGACGACGACGGCGTGCTCAGGGACAAGGATCCCCTCGCGCTCTTCAACGAGAAGCTGCAGGGCTACGCGTGCATGACCGAGATGGATCCCAGGCACAGCATCGCTGAATGAATGCTGATGGGTGATCGATGCTGAAACTAAATTGCTTCATTTGACCTTTGTCATGTTGTTTTGTTCAGGCTCAGCTAGTCCATACTTGTATTAGTTGTAATTGGACGCCTTGTCTGTTGTACGAGTCATATGCTAGATCTTGAAAATACAGGTTTGGGGCGGCTGAAAATACGCTCATGTTAGAAACTTCTCCCTGAAACCAATACCCTCTCAGGCGATTAGGGCTCGCTCTTTGATCTTCGGCAGGGCGCATCGGATTTTGTTGCGGCGGGAGATGGCAACTCCGACTGATCGCAGCAGAAAACTTGATATCACGGAGGAAGAAGCGACTCCTCTAGTTCGGCGTCAGATGGAGGAAGCCATCGGAAAAGTTGATATCATGGAGGAAGAAGCGACTCCTCTAGTGATTGACGATTCTGTTGAGTGTTCAAAACCAGGAATGTCTTTATCGCAATTTGTTTCATATTCGGACAATATTTAGCGTGCTTCGTTAGCATGGGGAAATCCTTGTGGTCTGGTGTTTCGTCCTCTTGAGGAGAACATGTTATAGGCTGAATTTGAATCTCAGTTGGATCAAAGATCGTGTCTGGGAAGGCTCACCGTGGCATGTCGGTAAACATGCAGCGATTTTGAAGGAGTTCGAGGAATGTACGCGGCCATCGGGACTCGCTTTTGATAGGCTGCGGGTATGGAGCAAAGTTGTTAATCTTCCATATAATCTGAGGAATGGTACATGGGCTTGAAGTAGATCGACAAGCATGCAACTCCTTTGCAGATTGACCCGCGGGAGGTTTTCTAAGGGTTCATGTCACCACTAACGTAAAGAAACCCTTGAGAAGGTGGATTTGTGATTGATTCGGCAAGAAGGAACCATAGTGATTGGTAGGATATCCAATATGAACAAATACCTCACTTTTGCTTTTCATCTAGTGGCCTAGGCCACTCGGATCTTCTCTGACCGACTCCGGCATAAAGGATGAGGAAGGCAACTGGTCGTTTAAACATGGACCGCAATATCTGGGGAACGTTCCCTGGGAGCATTTTTTCCAACGAACGCCAAACTTGCCATGCCAAATCAACTAGGTTGCCCTGGTAATTTTGTAAGAATTGCCATGTTCGGAGGCAAAAATTGTCATGTAGTGTGTTTAGAAAGTAGAAAAGTTGCTACGTTTCACAAAAAATTTGTCGCTCGTTCGATCCTGATCAGACGACTTTGGGGTTGTTCCCTGAAAAAGTCCTCCCAGGAACGTTCCCCAATTATCTTTTCCCTTAAACATAGCCTGAGGGCAATCGATGAAAGGTGCAAGTCAAGTTTTGATCAGAACTCTTCAAAGGATCAGCATGACTCTCAATATAGCAGGAAAGAAGCCAATTATTCAAACTCAAAAACTAGCAAAAATTGTGAAGTTACATCCCCTCCGAAACGGGCGTATCAAAATAAACGTAAAGGGGGCTGCAACAAAAACAAGTTTATCGCAAGGTAGAGATGCCACTTCTAACTTAGCAGACTCATCAGGACAGTGGAACGGATTTGATGGAGCTCAATGGTGAGTCGGCTACTGAGAAGGATGGTGATGAAGGCGATGAACTAGAGGGTGAGAGGGATTATGAGAAAAGATGCCACTCCACCTAGTTCTGATAATTCTATATTGGCAGCCCTTGCCCATCCCAATGAGCTGCATCAATTGGAACTAACAGGGGCTTGGGAACCCCGAGACAGTTCGAGAGATTCTCGAGATTATGAAGCAAGGAGGGCCCTCCTATTGTTCGTTATGGAAACAAAAATTGGGGGTAAAAGAGTTGAACATTTGCAAACCGCTCTAGGTTTTGTTGGTAGTTTTGACGCCGATAGAGATGGACTTAGTGGTGGTGGTGGTCTGTTCTGGTCCAATCAAGTGGATGTTGAACTTCAGATTTTGGCTCAGCTCATATATTGATGTTACTGTTAGAAGTAAAAAAAATCGCAACCATGGCGCTTCACCGGTTTTTATGGCAATTTGAGAGATGAGAATAGGCACCACAGTTGGTGATTCTTGCGTACTTTGCATGCTATTAGGCATAGTGTTTGGTTTTGCATTGGCAATTTTAATGAGACGCTCCATGCAAAAGAACACTTGAATGTTAATGCCCATCCAAAGTGGCAGATGTATGCCTTCCGCGATGTGGTGGCTGAAACTCCTTCCGGGATTTGGGTTGGACGGTGTTCCCTTTACTTGGGATAATAGACAACAAGGCAATGCAAATGTTAAGGCTATATTGGATCAAGGTCTTGTGTATGATTCCTTTCTAGGCCTTTTTTATTATGCAAGTGTCAAGAATGCTAGTTTAGTGGAATCATATTATTGTTTGTACTAGCCGAACTCAAAGTTGCATCACTGAATGATTAGCCAAAGGCACCCCGTACGTTGTGGTACGAGAATGTGTGAAAGTCCCATGCTAACTATGATTCTTTTGTCAAGGATCTATAGCAAGTGGGGGCTGATCAGAGGGGTTTAACTGGTGTCATTGAAACCTTATCATCCATCCAAGAACATTTAGGCTCTTGGGGCATCAAAGAATTTGGTGCTTTGTCGATAAAAAGTTTGTAGGTTGCAGCAAAGGCTTGAACGCTTAAGAACTACCTTGGTTTGCGTGGTCCATCGGCAGAGGAAATGGTAGTGACAACGCGGTTGAAAGAAGATTTACGTTAAGAGTTAAGAGGAAGCATGGCTTAAACAACATTCATATGTGCAACCGTTGCGTAAGGGGGTTGTAATACTAGTTATTTTCAAGCCCAAGCAGCTGGTGATGGTTCTGTCTGTGTTGATCCGGATGATGTTAGGGAAGATATTCTCAATTTCCACAAGTCATTGTATCATTCGTGAGGTTTTAATGAGATGCATGAATTGTTAGATGTTTTCACTCCTCGGGTCTCGAAACCTATGAATGAACTTCTTGAAAAAAAGTTGCAGCTGAGGAACTGAAGAAAATACTGTTTGACATATAGCACCGTCAAATGCTTCGGGAGTTCATGGTTTTACTATTGGTTTGTACCAGAGTCATTGATATAAAGAAAAATTTATTCCCCTTGATTTTTGTGTCCAAATTTCACTTTACTTTGACATAACCCAAAAAATCATAATATTGGCACTATATGTAAGAGCATAGGAAGAAAGTCCATGGGACTTCATCCTCCTCTTCTTCAAAGGAGGTGAGTGTAGGATCAAAATTATGTCTAGATGGGGTGATTAGACTACTTGACCAAATAAAACCTAACCTTTTTCCCAATTTTAGTTGTTTGCAGATTTTGGCATTTCTAGCAAGTCAAACATCACCCTACACATGCAATTCTAAGAGCATAGCAACGGAAAGTAAGACATGTCACATGTAAGTAAAGGAGGGGCTTGGAGAAAGCAAACGCAATGGGGACACGAAGATTTTTGGCGTGGTTCCGATAGGTGGTGCTATCGTACATCCACGTTGATGGAGACTTCAACCCACGAAGGTAACGGTTGCGCGAGTCCACAGAGGGCTCCACCCACGAAGGGTCCACGAAGAAGCAACCTTGTCTATTCCACCATGGGCTCGTCCTCGCAATGTGGTCAATAAACAGGATATTCACTTCAGAGACATGGAAAAGCATGAAACGTAACCTTCTGCCCTATTCTCCAAGATCGACGAGCCATCATGATTTGAGACCACCCATGAATAAGTATCTTTTCACCTCGAAGTGAAATGGAGTAGGTCGACATAAACATCATATTGTGACCAAATGCAAGTCTGACTCGACCATGGTCAGGCACTGTATAGGAACAATAAAACTAGGCAGTTTCTATTTTAAGAAGAACACGGTTATAAAACTGTGTATAAGCAGGAGTTTATGAACAACATGTATAACAGAAAATATCTCATACCATCAGTTTCTGGACACAATTGGACCTGTTCAACGTGTGCACCAGTAACACACATATCCCACGTGGCTTTCCACCATTGAAATGTTACACAAGGTCCTCAAGACGATCAATAAAGTGTAGGAAATGGTGGATGTCGTCCCAGTCAACTTCAGTGCCATTAGTAACAGTTGAGCTCTTATCAAATAACAAACGAGTAGTGTCCTGCACTTTGTAATAACCTATGCGTGTCACCAATTATAAGAAATATTAGTTAGAAGTAGCATCACTGTGAGAGAAGGGGATCACAAATTGTTGCTACTTCTAAAGTCAATTTGTGATTAGTTAGACAGAATACGTGGATTAAAAAGTAATAGAGGCAACATGCAAGAACCAGATACAAAACTAACATGGATGTACTACTATAACGACGTCGGGTTGGATGGTCACAGGGATGACAAGACCAGGTTCTGCTATTTCCATCCACAGCCCGTAACACTTGACAAAGTTTATCCAAGTTCGGCCATAAGAAAAGGAGCAATCTTGTTGGTTAATGAACCCAAGTGTGAACTTATATCCATGGCGTGTCTCCAATGTGACCATTATACTGGTGTATTCAGTTATGGCAAGGTCGACCTTCTTGAATACATGTGTTCTGGCGGAGCAAGGATGCACTGCAGGAAAAATAATATGAGAACACAATTTATTCGCTGTCCAAATCTAGAAATAATTTCCTCTTTCACGTCAGTGTTGAGTATGGTACTAGTACCTTTTATCCAAATATAATGATACGTCTCCGACATATTGTAAGTGCATCTAGTGCCGACCTTAGTTGGTTTTGGAGTATTGACGACAAACGTGCTTGAGGAACTAATGTGTTTGTGAGAATTGCAGGATAACACAGGTAGTGTCCCTCATTGATTCGGTTTACCTACCAGAGATGACCCCTAAAATGTGTGAAGACATTGAAGACAATGGTGGTTCGTGAAGACATTCACGACGAAGATTATGACACATGAAGCTATTCACGTGAAGACTATGGAGTGCGAAGACATAATTGTTTCATAGTTCCTCTTCTTCTTTATTGAGTCATAGGAACCACCGTACTGCTAAGTGGGATCCAAGTGAATA